TGACGTCACTGATCCCAACGCACGAGCGGCCCTTGCCAATTCTCAGACAGTCCCAACAGTGAACTCCGGCTCAGGGTCGACGCCAAGCCTCGACGCGCGCGTGAGGATAGGAGTGCACTCTTTTACCGTTCAGTTCCCGCTGCCCGTCGACATAGCGGGTGCGAAATTGCGTGTTGCGAGGCGGTCGTCGTACATCGAGGTCAGTCGTGCTGGTGCATTTCACGCCTACCATCGCATCCCGTTTGCATTGTTCGACGTTGACACCTTGTCCTTGTCCAGGTCGTCGCGCCCCTCGCTCCGTTTCACGTCCGACCCGAGCGCGATCTCTTGAACCGGTTCGCGCCGTTACCATCGGGTCCCGACGACGACAGCACCCCCATGCTAGGGAGCATTCACCGCCTCAACCTCGACCGGTGCCCCATGTTCAAGCTTCCTGAGGGCCCGTCAACGTTCGATTGGTGCGACTTGCACATCAACCTCATGTTCTCGGGGCCCGAGAAAAAGCGTTTGTGCTGCGCCCATTCCGAACTGCCATCAAAAGACAGCAGCACCTTCGCCTCCATGTCTACACCGGACACACTCCTACACCTCAAACAAACGTTGCATGTCCTTTTGGGCGCCGCAGCAGGGGCGACAGGTAAAACCCCTGAAAAAGTGTTCGGGCTGTGCGACACGTCACGACGCGGGGTGCCGTATCTTTATATTGTCGTTGCATATATGCGCCTGGACGTTGGATCGCACACGGTGGTTGCGGACACGTTTGTGGCGTTGACTACACCTGCCGTGCGGGCGGCGCTGGGTATCGCGGTATGTGATGCATTCACGTCTACGGGTGATATGCTGAGAAAGCCAAAGGACATTGGGATCCGATACATTGCTACAGACGCGGACGAGACAGCGGCGTGGTTCCATCTTCTCCCGCGCCTGACTGAACGGTGTCGGACGTGGCCGCACAAGACGAGCTGTGCATACCGCAGCCGTGCAAAGCAGCCCGACGAACGGACCACTGGGAGGTGGGAACGACAGAGCCCACTGTGTACCTGCGGCGCAGGTGTGGGGACCGAGATTTTGCCAAAGGTATTCGAACGGGTCGCACCCTACCTGACACGGGCAGCTTTCAGTCCCTTGTTTTCGGTGCCGTACCTGAAGGAGGTGGCCGTACCTGTGGCCGTCCTGGAAAAGGTTCCGGGGAAGATGAAGCCTTGGAAGGCCGCGCGCAAGACCTCATTGAACGAGCGGAACGCAGACGTTGGTAAGACGCATGCGACTGGCGGGGAATATCAATGTCGGTCTTGTGGCAAGGAGGGTGGTCTGGCATGCAGTCGTTGCAAACGTGCACGATACTGCTCCAAGGTATGTCAACTTGCGGATTGGAAGGATCACAAGAAGAATTGTGGGAGTGCACTTGAGGCGGTATGATTGGGTCTGTCCAGGAGTAGTGGGTTGCTTGATTAGAATGGGTTGGTAGATCGTAGGATAGCCACTCTCCACTGGCAGTTCAGCTCGTACTTACGTGGAACATAAACGTATGTACACTTGTGAAAGCTTGGCACATTGGGACGACCTATCCCCTGGCCTCCACGTTGAGTGTAGCCATAGCCAATACGTTCTTGACGTATCAATACATGCATGTTTACACCGGCAATAATATCTGAGACAGGCACCTACCCACGTCCGACTCTCAACTACGTCCGCACCCCGTTTCTCCTCCTTGGCCTAGCTTTTCGGCCACCAATTCGCGGAGGATGCAAGGCGATAGAACATAATTTCAACCACCGGATAACGTGGGGATCGACACGCTGTCGCAGCCAAAAGAGCGTGACCAAGCGCCGACCGTGTCGGCATCGTTGCGCAAAGACAGCACTTCCTCGCAGGTGGTGTCGCCGGAGGGTATTCGTCCTGGGTAACGGACCCCGCCATTTGAGCCATGCCTTGTGTGCCCCACAGCGCGCGTGCCACTCTGAAGGTTGCGCGTGTGCTTTTAGTGCTTGTACCGGTGACGATGTGGCATTGGCATCCGATATTCGGTGTCTCTGTCTGAGAACCATCAAAAAAAAAAAAGGCATGAGTTTCATAACACGCCAGTCAAACCATGATGAACTGGCAGCTTACGGTGCATCATACTGTGCCACTGGACAGCTCCGTTGGACATCACTGCCAGTACTATAGCGTTATATATGCCCTTGAGTGCCGCTCACAAGACGCAGAGACATCGGAATCAACCTACCTCCGCAGCGGCCGCACAGCGTGACCAGGAAGGGGTTGCCGGTTGCGAAATACGTTCAACACCGGAAGCTGGGAAACCGGGCGAAAAAAAGAATGAGCCATTTTTGCATCGTCGGATAGAATCGCACACGCCACGCTGGTGCGAGCGATACAATACGTACCGCTCTGCGCTCCAACTTGAATATCGCGAGTTCGAGCCGGAGGCGCCAGAGCGTCGCGAGAAACTCGGGAGCGAGTGTTCCTGTCCCTGTCGGGTTCGCGTATTGCGCGGAGGGAGAAGTGACACTCGCAGGCGAGCCCTCGGTGAAGGGGGGACAAATAGGCTGGGGAGAAGAATGTCAGGTGTTACTGACCGTTCTAACGGCGTATAAAACGCGGCTGCCAATGTACGCACTGTTGGCTCATGGAGAGTAGTGTGTTGCACGGTAGAACATTCGGACTGCGCCTCAAGTAGTTCTTGCGAGGGCATATTGAACGGTTAGCTTAGAAGGGTCGGGTGTGCTTGAGAGACAAGAGTGCGAGCCAGATCACCTTCCATCGGTCTACTTATGTGCCAGGAAGCCGGGAAGGGGGACAGGAACCTCAAGGCTGCCGAGTACGCCGTTGCCTGCCGAGGAACCTCATGCTATGCCGGATTGGCTGGCTGAAGCAATGCCGGGCATACGGAACAAGCCGCGTCGTGCCGCATCGCTCAAGAAGCACGGCAAAGCCGGGCCAGAGAGGCGCCGATTAGTAAACAGCCAATGAATCATCCAAATCAAGTCAATAGCAAGGTCGTCACTTATATTTAAGTACTGTAGCATGCAGCATAGAATATCGCATGTTACGAAGCTACGGTGACTGATGAGCGGAATACAGTTACAATTGACAAAGTACCCATCGATGACACCGCAAAGCAAATCACCAAACCACCTACAGGAAGATCAGTCAGTATTGGAGTCCTCAAGGGGAAGGCAAACCAAAGAAAGGTCAGAAGTGTCATATGTGGAGCACGCCCTTGTACGACAAGGTATTCTCCTTGAAGAAATTCAAACCATACAATCCCAAGACATCATTCCTCAGAGCATATAGACATACTCACCTCGGGTCAAGCATCTCCACGACAAAACATGGAACGACGAGCGTTCGGAGGGGGAAAAAATAATGATAAAAGACCCACGTCGAACGAGAGTAAGCCCCATTGAGTTGAAGGCACCCTGAATTGGGACGCCAACTACCGCATAACTATATCCATGAGCAACGAAGAGCAAGCCATCCATCAAACAACCCAAGCAAAAAACACGCTCATATCTTCGCATGAATATGCTGCAATAGGGTTGCTCGACTTCCAGATTGCAACAGAGTGGGCAAACGGAACTGTCCCCGAACAAAAAGACGCGGTCCAGTAAATCGATCTTTGCCCGACCGTATCTCGCCCTCCTCAGCAAATTTGAAGCTGGGTGCTTTCCGTTGCAGGCGAGAAGGGATCACTCTGCGTCTCCGGAGACTTTCCCCACAGCAGGAAATACGAAAGCGAGGTGCTTTCTGTGCGTGTGCTGCGATGACGGTGCTTCATACGACGTGGGTGTAAGAAAATCGAAAATAACTCAAGGGAAATTATATGACCTAATATCAGCTCCGATTCAAAATAGACCAAAGGCTAGGGACTAACTAGTAAGTATACTAACACCTCCGAGCACACTTGTGCCATCCTCCATACTTACCCGACAACGATGAATCCTCCAGGTGGAGGCGAAAATACTACCGCGAGGATTAGTTTTGTGCACTCTCCCCTGATATCGCTGAGTCGACCACCGCCTGGTGCGCCATTCCCCACATGCAACCCTGATACCTCCCTTTCTGAGTCGGATTGTGTAATCCAGGGAAAGTGCCTGAGAAGATGGACGAGATGTGCATCACATACGCTAGTCAGACCGCCCGTGGAAGATCCCAGAAGTCACGAGCCTAAAACGTACAGCATATGTCTTCGTAAAGTCTACCCCCACGAAGTTACCGACTACCTACTCGGCAAGGGATGGAGAACGCGGCAAACCAATGACATTCCTCTTCCTCCAGAAGGTCAGCCCATGCAGGAGCGCTATCCTGACGATTCCGAATCATCGACAAAGCCTGATGAAGATGAGACACGATATTGGGAACGGGGGTGGTATATCTGGACGACCTCTTCCAATAAGAACGCATTAGAAAAACTGCCAATTCATGTCACAAAGCCTCAAATCCCAGGACCGTTATCTTCAGGACAAACTTCAGAACGAGAAGACTCAGCAGAATGAGCAAATATGGATAGAACAACTTCGCGGGCGAATCAGAGTCGAACTGGACGGCACGCTAAGTTCCGTACCGCCTCCAGATTACCTACACTATCACTGGTGTGTGCGAACGCTTCGAATCTCAGTATCGACCATTCACAGAGATACAGGCAAAATTCATCTCTCACCCAGATCCCTTCATCGCTCCGCCCACTCTTTGACCCACTGCGTAGGCTTCTTGCTCCAACCGCCAAAGTCCTGGACATATTTCGGCGAAGCTTTGAATCTGGGTCACAACGAGAGTTTGCACGTCGGGTGTTGGAGAAAGGGCATTCGCAGGAACCTTTCATCCTTGCACGTCGTCTGTGTAAGAAGGCATGGGAGATGATAGCCGGACCACCAGATGCCAAGTCAGACATATAATTAGCCTCATACCATAATGCATTTAGTCATATTGTAGGTTTAGATCTCTATCACGTCTCTCCGAGGGATTGTCAAGCAAAAACTCACTTGTAGCAAAAGGTTTGACATGAGGGAGATTCGAACTCCCGCCCTTTCGGACTGGATGGATACATCGTAGCCTGATTCCAGCGCCTTAGACCGCTCGGCCATCATGCCTCCTAAATGTTGGTATGCATGTTTTACTATGACCACGTGAGGGAGGGCACCAAGTGTGTTCCCAACTGATCCTATAGGTCCACAGAAATAGTTTTTCTCTTTTTCTTCTTCTTTTCTTTCTTTTTGAAGCTTTTTCAAAAAAAAAAAAAAAAAAAAAGAAATAGAGCATTCGTTGCGGCGCCCGCCAATCAGTACTTCGGTCGTAAAAGCTTGAAAGATGAGCCTGAGAAGCAGAACATCTACCTCCAGCCCAAAACCACATGGACGACTGAGATATCTAAATCAGCAGCGACGGGACCCGCAGATAATCGTGGATGGTGAGATCTTGAGAATTCGACTGGGTGAGTGAACGTTTTGAGCAAGGACCGTGAGCAATCCATCTTCGGCAACGCTCGTCCGACTCATCCCCAACTTGCCACCACGCCCACTAGCGGTCATGAACATTCTCTGTCAAGCCCAACGTGCTCTCCATAACTCGTTTTCACAAGGATTCCGACATGCACCGACGCCGTGTTCGCGGCCCTTTGCGGGTCGTGTGTTGCTACGCGCGACGAGAAGCACGTCCTCGGTAGCGGTCCCGACACCCCCAGCTCAAGCGTTCGTCTCGTTTCCCGCGCTCTCGTCCCTTGCTCAGTTGAAATCATAGCCAACAGAACGACCCTCCACGATCTATCCTCATCGTGAACAAGCTCCGACAGACCCAGTCATAAAAGCGATCGACGACCTCCTCCAGTCAGTCTTTCCTCGTCTTCACCATTCCGTACTCATGCACGTTGGCAGACATGTGAATAAGATGTATCCGGGTATCAAGGTATTTGCAGAAGACCGACCTGACAAGCCCGAGGGTGCAGGAGTTTGGCGACCCGGACCTCGGTCGGAGAAGATCGACTTGGTTGTCACGCTCGGAGGAGACGGGACGATCTTACATGCCGCATCGCTATTTAGCCTTGGAGCTGTCCCACCGGTGCTGAGTTTCTCTATGGGCACTTTAGGGTTCCTATTGCCCTTCCGTGAGTACCCGGTTAGAGCAGCGGAGCACGCTTGTTGAGCATCTTGCCGGAAAACAGATATAGACGATTTCGCAAAGGGCCTAGAAGCTGTATTTCATGGCAAGGCGACCCTACTCAACCGAATGCGCCTATCGTGCACGTTCTATGACAAAGACGAGAAACAGATGGATAATGATGGTGCGTATCACGAATGCTGGTCTGCTGGCGACAAACCTTGGCCACATCCGTTACTCAGAATGGCAAGTCATGAACGAGATTGCGCTGCACCGTGGCTCCAGTCCCCATCTGAACACAATTGATATCTTTGTTGATGGTCAACATCTGACAGAGGCAGTGGTACGTCCGGTCGGCTAGCAGGATCAGGTATGATGCTGATGTTGGCGAAAAGTCTGATGGCGTGATTGTTTCTACCCCCACAGGCTCAACGGCCTATTCCCTCTCCGCAGGTGGACCCATTGTACACCCTTCCCTGAGCGCCGTGGTCTTGGTCCCCATATGTCCGCGGAGCCTTTCCTTCCGTCCACTTGTCTTTCCAGGCTCGTCCTCTGTCACATTACGTGTAAGTTGTTCATTGGTTTACCCTGCTTCAAACTTTAAAAAATGTTTTACCTTTCCCTTTCAGATTAGCGACCGTAGCCGTGCTGCGGCGGGGGTGTCGATGGATGGGCGCGTTTCCCATGTCCTAAATCCGGGGGATTCAGTGACAGTGCAGGTGTCACCATACCCTGTCCCTTGTATCAACCGATCATCGATTTCAGAGGATGGCGAAGGAAGGCCAGAGGAAGGCGTGGGTCCTGGAAAGGAAGATGACTGGGTGAGGGACATCAACAATCTATTGCAGTACAACGCCACGTTCCGGAGCAAGGCACTTTTGCGGTACAGCCGCTCCTAGTACACTAGCACGATAGTGAGTGGTTGTGGTCGCGTTCTGTGCGTGTGCCATCGCTGACGTGTGCCGCCAGCCCACTGGATAGAACGTAAAGCCCGACGTCTTCGGATGTTTGTGAATATTTAAGCGCCCTTGTAATGAAGAGGGTTCCGATCAAACGCCTTGTGACTGCTGTAACACTAGCGCTGGTTGTATGATATCTTTGAGCGCGCATGAGGCCCGGAGCGCTGGAATCTACTGTAGCATAGAAATCCCCGAGGGGAAGCGCCTTAAGGCGCTCCAGCGGTTGGCGTATCACAATTGCGAGAACAGGGGGTTGCTGTGTGTTCTGCGAGTAGAGGCTGCCAAGCGCCCCTCTGTCCGCTTCTGGGCCCGTTGCTCTGTTCCTGAGATTCGGGGGACTGTGGCTCCCCCTCTGTATACAGGATATGACATGAAATCTGTACTTTAGTAGTTGTGGCAGGCTCCCAACTTTGTTGAGATGGCTCTGTTGATCAACCAACAGACCACTGAGAACGGCATGTTCATATCTAGGTATTTGATCACACAGTAAGCTAGTAGGCAGATATATTTGACGTCCGAAATATTTACCAACCAACGAATACAGTAAGGTCAACGTATGCTACAGGATTCTTGAATTCGAATGTCATCGCGTACAGTATCTATGGGTATAATTCTGGGGTATAATTCTGGACAACACATCGTCCGCAAACCGTTTGAAAACGTCGCGCAGCAAGAATTCAATCCATGGCTCAACTTGCACCATCGCTCATTGTCCGGTAAGCCTTTGAAAAAACCAACTCCGTTTGCGGTGCAACGTCGACGCCGATGGCGATCGCGGACGTGCCGCACGTGCACCGCACGCCGCCTTTTCGTCCTCCACGTCATGGTCGTCTGATCTCTGATACGGCGGGGCGGGGTCTGAGTCGATTGCATCCGCGTCCGAGTCCTCAGGCATCTGCATAGGTGATGGTGATGTCTGGTATCGACTGCGCGGCCACCGCACACGCCTGTGACTGCTGTGCGCTGACGTGGACGTCAACGATCTGGTAGCGTGACATGTGTGCGACGAGTTTGGGCCATGCAGGTGCGCTGATACCGATGCAACTTGGGGCATGCCCCGGGGTGGGAGCCAATAATGAGAGCGAGAGGGAGGCGTCGTGCAGGTCCTTGAGCTGCGGGAATGCATCGCGCGCGTGTGAGAGCGCTTCCTGGATCCCATGGAGCGGTTAGCTTGTTCGACCTCGGAGCACGCTGTTAGGGAGTGGCTCACGTTGTAGCCAGGTGCCACTGGTACGTAGACCAATTGCCCATTGTACCGGTAGGTGAGGATGTCAGTGGAGTTCGTTCCAGAAGAATGGGGTTTGGCAGCGTGGTGACAGCCCATGGCAGTTATGCAAAAGGTTGGGTTCAAAGAGTGCGGGGTAAACGACACCTGGAATACCAACGAAGCCGAGCTTTTATCATGATAGTCAAAGCCATTAAATGCAGTGCCAACCCCGACAAGTCACACGAACACCGCTCAATGTACAGCCTCATGGCGTCGGCCACAGCACAAAACGTATGGCAATGTCAATTTCTAGAAAATTTCCTATGCAATTCCTGTCGAAAAAGTCCACCGTGGTATGGTTTGAACAGCAAATGAATGCGGTATTTCGTGACAACTATCGTCACCTCGAGATAAGATTACAATGACACGATGTCGGTTACAGTCAAAAAAAAAAGTCTCTGCGTTTCCAAGGTCCCATATATCAAGCAATGTCGTCGACCAACACCGAGAAAAATCCTTGTCCAGGACGTGCCGTCGTCGTTCTATTGTTTGCCCTCGCGGCTGGCTTCACCTGCTCAACCCTTGTCTTCTTCCCCTTCCTTTGCCTCTCCAGTGCAAAAACATCTCCAGCGAAGCAGTACAGGCATCCCATAGATCAGGAGCCAAGACTGTCCTCAGAAACCGGTGTAGTCAGGTAAGCATGAAACCTTTCCCCAGACAGTGCCTGGATATTGGCTGGTACCTGCTCCGTCACAAACAACACCTGTGATAGGAGGTGGATGGTCTCGATGGCCATCAGGACTTGGGCCATCAGCTGTACGTTCCTATCTGCCAACGGTATGGTCGTTGGCAGGCTGGTAGCCAAGCCATTGGCGTGGCTCGTTGTGTCGTCAACGTTCATGGAGTGCGGCGATTCGCAAAAGGCAAGGAGTGCATGGGCTTCGTGGCGTGTCCATCTCTCCTGTTCCCGCTCCTTACTCATGCCACTTTCCACAGCCCGCTGGTGGAGCGTTTGCACGATCCATCTCAACACGAGGACACCCATAAGCCGGTTAGGTGATACGTTCTTGACAGCAGGAACGTTACTCCCCAAGATATGCAAGAACAGTGCCATCCGTTCCTCCAGGCTCCGAAGTTGAACAGGTACCCAAGCCTCCGTATCAATGCTTTCGTCAAAATCAGATGACATCATCAGAGCTGCTAGGTCCGGAACCGACACCTCCTCTGGAGCTATTCGGGTTCCGCGACGAACGTACTCGCTGACATATTTCGGGCGCGCCGGTGGGCGTGAGCGGGAGCGAGAAGAAGCCGAGGTGGGAGGAGCTACGGAAGAGTCTTGCTCCGTGCCGCGTAAACGCCGAAGTTCGCCTCGCAAAGGTGCCAGGAGGTCGGCGTCTGGGTCTGAGTCTTCCTCAACGACGTCAACCAGCTCGTCGGGATCCTCTTCGGTTTCATCACCCTCAGATACGCTACCATCCACTGCAGCTAGTTCCTCTTCGGGTGCTTCTGGAAGTCCCACGCCATCATCTAGCAAGGCGTAGACCCACGATCGGATTGGTCGTCCGATGGATGTGGCAACATTCTCAAAATCTGGGTTGTCGAGAAAGATCCTTGGCCAGAAGGTTCCAGTGCTCAGAATGTCCGTGATTTGCGGTTGTAACTTCCCTGCTCGGAACGCCTTCAGGTACAACGAACGAAGCATGAGAAGGCTGTCCTCCGGAGGCGTGCCATCAACGTTGCCGGGCTCCCGATTGTGCAAAATCGCACGCGAGAACAGGTTAAGCAACGGACATGTATCACCTCCGTGCAATACACAGATTGGTGTTGGCCA